TAAATTACATCAAACATTTCTTAATCTGATTCTAAAATCTCTGTTGGTATAAAGCTGGACCCTTTAAATTACATAATGAGGTTGAGAAAATAGGGAATAAGTTAAAATATATATATATATATATATTCATTTTGGTCACTTCAAATCCATGCTCAGAAGGGTCCTAGTAAAATTGGTGGATGAATTTATCAGCTTCCACTGTCTAATTGACCACAAATTTCAAATTCGTTTTCGTTTTTTTTTTTCAAATTGCATGGTACAGACAATCTGACCTAAAGTTTCAAAGTTTATTCATTTGCAACTCTAGTCGGTATGTACTACTAAGAAATTAATGTTATTACACTTTGGACAATAATCTGATCAAACTATTGGATCATTGGGTTATTAATTCTGTCGGTAGATTGTTGGTAGAATCGGTAGCTAGGTCACTTGTACAATGATATAAATATATTTTACAACACATGAAATATAAATTAGAAACAGTAAAACTGGTGAATAAATTTATCATTGGGTTATTAATTCAGTCGGTAGATTGTTGGTATAATTTTTTACAAAAATTCCTTGATGACTTACCGATCAATTTTAATTGGATTTATTACACACCAGTCTCTGAGACATAGTCACTTACAGCTTGGTACGTAGTTCACATAAAAAATAAAATAAAATAAAAATTACTATTGGCACAAATTTCATGCTTTTGTTTGAAATTTCAATAAAATAAAATAAAATAATATGTATTCAATATTCAATTGTAATGGAATGTTGAAATAAAATATGATTTCAAAACCCTGACTCATCAATAATCCCAATCAAAACTCAATCATCTTGCTCTCCATGCATGACCAAGTGAATTTTGAAATGTTTTTAACGAAGGCAAAAAAGTATAACTAGCTAGCAGTAGCATTATTTTCCCAGAACAAATTTGCTTTTCTAATTCTATATTTCATAGAGTATTAATTTTATTTTATTTTTTATTTTTTATTTTTTTTAACGACTGAAACAATGATGTACATAATCAATGCCATTTAATTATTATGTGGTCCTATGATTTTCCAATTTATTTCTTGAAACTACAAAACTCACCCTCATATTTATAGCGTAGAAGCATTGAACAGTCGCTTTCGTGCAAATCTATGAAAGATGCTGAATTAAAGAGTTTTCAGACCGCAAATTGCAAAAAGCACCTCATCATCTAAGGAAATTAGTAAACAGAAGTTTTTTTTTACACATTTCCTTATTATATATGCTTTTAAGTATTTCTTAATTAAATCAATAAGCTTTTAGTTCAAGTGAAAATGATCTCTTGATATAGCTTACAAAAGATTGCTGATTCAATTCTTATCCGAGTTAAAAACAATATTGGTAATAATCTGATTCGATCTGAAAATAATATAAATATAATATTTTATGTTTTTAAAATATTAAATATAAAAAAAGGAAAAAAAATGTGGCACCAGTTTTAGGTTTAAGGTTTAGTAACTCTAAATGGTAATTAACATTCTACGCTTTTGTTCCCTTCTACCTCTATATTGAAGACTTTTTTTTTCCAAACAATTAAATGATAAGTTTTTTTAGTTTCTTTTTCAAATCTCAAATTAATTTTGTGAGATTTTTTATAAATGTATGGAAAAAATAATTAATGAGTTGTTGTTGGTATTATATTTATAAAGTCTTCCTCTAATTTGAATTTATATCCATTTCAAACTTCTTCGTAAAATATTAGGATTTTCTTTTATACTAGTCAAGTTATGCTTAGAGTAGATATTTTTATTATTTTGCTTTACTTTGTCACACTTCTTGTTTAATTTAAATTATTTTTGACTTTTAGTATAAATTTTTATGTGGATTATTTCATTTTGTTCTTTTTAATGGTGAGACATTTTGATTTTTTTTTTAAATTGATGTATTAAATATTATCATTAGATATTTATTTATACATGCAATAGTTGAAATCTATTTTACATTGAAGCATAATTTTCAATGTAATCAATATTATTTTTAAAAAAATTGAATTCAATCCGTACTCGTTGCAATTCAGATATAGATTGATAGTTGCAAAATTCAAATTTAAATTTATAAGATTTAATTTGACTCATTTAATTTTTTTGAAAAAATTTGGATCCACTATGATCTAGTCTATATATATCCAAACCATTTACGAGACTTAGGGAAAAAAAAAAAAGCTTTTCTCAAGGAATAAAAGAACAGCAAGGAAGAACGCACTTGAATTTAAAATGTGATTTGATGGTTTGATAAATTTTCACAAGAAAGTGGATCTTTTGATGTATGATTTTTCTTTATTTAGGAAAGTGTTATTGTTTGTATGAATTGATTGAGTGATTTTTAAATTAACTTTTATTTTCTCTGGGTTTTTTCCTTAATTATGTACTATGTGTGAGGTTGTTATTGAGTTACTAATTGTTGCGATACTACATAATTTATGCACTTAATTTAAAGCATGAGTAAAGGATAACCTCTTGTAGTATAGATTTAGCCTTTATAGAAAATAGTCATCTAAGTGTCGACCTCTATCGATAATTCATATAGTCCAAGCACTCACACAAGAAGCACTCCGAAGTTGTAGAGTGCTAACTCCATTTTTTTTTTTTTTTGACTTGTTTAATATTTTCTCTTTGCAAATCTATTTAGGGATATTTTTGTGACAACTCTAAAAGAAAAGGAGAGAGGTGGCATGGTTTTTCCATTTTTTTCTTTTGTGTCGCGCATGCCTAGCATAATCACTCCCTCTTTGCCGCACTTTGTCTTGATATTTATAAGGAAGTAGTGCCTTTCTTTTCCTCTAAGGACAAGGAAATGGTGGCAACAATTCTAAAAAGGACTCTAGGTTGTTGTTCATAGTCCTCCCGGGATTAGGAGTTGTAATACATATGAGCTTTTTTGATCTTATCCTTATAAACCTTGATCCTTATCCAATAAGGTTCATGTTTATCCTCCTACCAAAATATCTTGCATGTTTTTAATTTAAACCTATTGGCCCAAACTCTTTTGGCTCAATTAATTACCAATTAATTTAGACTATCCAAACAAATTGAGTTAGATATTTTTAAGAGACTTATATTAGAAAATAATTTTTTAAATTATCTTTAAAACTAAATTAGGAAACTAATTTTATTTTTAGGTAACTTACTTTTAAATTTTGAACTAACTTCCAAATTAGGAAACTAATTTCTAAAACGAGAAAACTTTCCATTTTAGAAAACTTTTCATTTTAAGAAAAATTTTCCAAAATAGGAAACTTTCCAAATTGGAAACCTTTTCCAAAATCTTTGCTTCTCTTTTATTATATGAATGCTTAAACTTATACATATGAATCAATAGGCTCTTAGATATATTGACAATGTATTAAAAAAATCTTTACTTCTCTTTTATTATGTGAATACTTAAACTTATGCATGTGACTCAATATGCTCCTAGATATGTTGGCAATGTATTAAGAATAAAAGACATCTCTTTTATTTCTTAATACTTAAATCAAGACTAGTCTCTAGCAAGACATCATAACTATCCAATTCTCTAGAAAAATTAATTAATCCGCAATTACCTTTCACGAGCATGGTTACCATACAATTTAGTCCTCATATCAATTTATCACTGTGTGATCTTGAACTTGGTTATTAATCCGTTCGATTATGATAATATAAGTTTTTTTCGATTTCTAAATGTCTTAGCTCTTAGAGTAAATCAACTATGCTATATTGGTGTACTCCTACTATGACCACGGATTTCTTGAGCGAGATATTTAGCAAAGTGCAATATGATAACTCCTTTAGCATATAAGGAATAACATGTCCTATCTTAGTCATCCACTTATCTTCATTAGATTTCTAGTGCATCTAACGAATCACCCATGTGTAACCCTTTACTGGGTCCATCGAAATGAGTACATAAATTCTCTAATGAAATAATCGTGATGACTTCAAGTCAAAGAATCGGTTGTACTCATCTCATATGAGATTCTCATAAACTAAACCAAATGGGTTCTCATAACAAGTCAAGTTCGGTGATATGTTCTCCAATGTTAATCACCTAAGTGTTTGCTTTGGCATCATCATGCTAATAGATATGAGATCTCCTGTCTGCTATCTTATTGCATGAGTATAGCATTCACAAGTCCGACCGTATATAGTCATTGTTCATTCTTGATAATGCTACAATTTGAGACATTTAATTAATGATATCATTTAAATGCATTAATATGTGTCTCACATCTTTCGATTAAACATTAATACAATGCATATTATATAAACTTCTATCTAATTCTATTCATAAACATAAACATAAAAAACAAGAATTAATAGAAAGATTTATTTTATTAAAAATATAAATAATGCAATATTACAATAAGTTAAATAAATCCAAACATGATTGGTTTTAGGGCACCTAAACTAATACAAATCATCAAATTACCTTTTGTTTTTCATATAAGTACGTCAGGTTTGGTTCAACTAGGACAGTATCTGTTTGACATGATACGTGATAGATAAATAGGTGCTGGTTAATTAAACCGAACCAACCACCTTAGCCAACAAGCCAAAGCAAATATATTGATGTTGTTAAAAGATGAATCCTGTGAAAAACCAAAAATGTCTAATTTGAGAAAAATAATAGAAAATAAAAACTTTCCATCGAGTTCATCTCCATGGAACAACAACAAATAAATAAATAAAAACATATCACAGTTAATTTGAAAAATATTGCCTCCATGTTGTCTCAATCTTGATTCATACATTGGAACAATCACCATGATCAACACTTGTTCCATATATTTTACAAAGTTCCAACATTTTAGATTAAAAAAAAAAAAGCGCAAAGTTCCAAATTCATATCCTAAGATATATATAAATATATCTTGCCGATTTTGCATTTCGAAAAGATGCACGCTTGTTACTTTTAATCACTTGATTATCTATGATCAAATAACACACACATTATCAATTCCCCCAATTCTCAACTAGGATCAAGTGGTAAGAATAAACATCATGGCAGGCAGTAAAAGATCCTGCAGTGGCCTAAAGATCTGTTTTCTTGCTACCTTTGTTCTCTTAATCACAATATCTGTGGTTCTAGTTATCTTGTATTTTGCTGTTTTCAAGCCTAAGGAACCAAAAGTTACTCCTCAACCTCTTATCCTGGAAAATATTCGTGGGGTATTCTTTCCAGCTCCATTGTTAAATATCACATTAGGCATGGAAATCACGGTCGAAAATCAAAATTATGGAAACTTCAAGTACCAGGAGAGCGCAGCTTATGTTAGTTATAGAGGGAATGTCGTCGCCGAAGCTCCGATTGAAGCCGACACCATTCCAGCTCGAGGAAAACATAATATATCTACGACTGTGACTATTTTTGGGGATAAGTTGTTATCGGATGATAACTTCAGGAGAGAGTTTCTTCTAGGGTCGATCTTGAATTTTGAATGAACGTTAAATTTATTTTTCATAACAAATTACCTATCTCTTAATATCTTAAAAACATGAGATAGATACCTAACTTACCCTTTCTTGTGTTAAGCACTAAACATATATTTAATCTAAAGAATCTTTTTTTTTTCGTGATAGTATTGAGGGCTAAATTAGCCCCTATCCGGTTAATTTTTACACCTCAAGAAAACGTCCTCATTAAGTGCTTTCAAGGCAAAGTAGGGCGATTTGATCTCAAATATTAAATTAGGTCTAGACAACTCAGTTACAATAAAAATGATTATTAAATATTTTATCATCACAAGAGACATAATAAACGCACTCAAACAATCACTCTGATTACAAGTGTTATGGTCTAGAAACTAAAAGATTTTACATAGCTAGATGTGTTCGGTTCATTGAAAATTTGTTTCTTTTTTAGAAGACTTTATCTTCTTGTCGGTCATCATAAACTTCAACAACCCAACCTTCGCTCACAGTGCCCTCTCTAATTACTAGCGGTACTTCTCTGCATGCTTTGCAACAGTCCTCCACTGCAAATGAAACTTCAAATCAAATGAAGAACTAACAAACACAAAACTGAACCACTATCTTCTTCTCTTACTGTTTCACTTACACTATCTAAACTAAGATCCCCACCCATAAAAAAGTCCTACAACTGGTTCATAAACTACATCTGGGCATCATCCTAATGGGTTGAAATTACTTGCTAATCTTGATAATGAGATTGCTTAATATGGTACTGTAATAGAATCCTTTTCTCCTTCTCTAGCAAATATTGCAGAAGGTGCATTCCATGACTCTCAAACTTAGTACAATGACCAAGAAATCCTTTGCTCATGTAACAAAGAAAGATCAACCTAGTTCTCATGAACCTCAGACTTTTAAAAGTCTATGATTACGTAAGGCAATGGATTAAGAATACCATGCACTGATTGCTAACAAGAGATGGTCTTTAGTGTCGAAACCTGTAACATCTAATGTGATTGGTAATATGTGGGTTTATCAAATAGAGAGACTTGCAGATGGTAGTGAAGAGAGGTACAAAATTAGTAGCAAAGGGTTTCATGCGACAACACAGAATTGATTTTACTAAGATATTATTCTAGTTATTAAATCTACAACTATACAAATCATTCTGCTCTTGTAGTCTCCTATGGCTGATGTTTGTGACAATTAGATGTCTCTAACGCATTTTTGAGTGGCATAATTATGAAAATGTGTACATAATACAACTCAAAGGCTTTGACGGTCGTTCACATCCTAATTTTATAAACAAAAATATAAAAGACAATCTCTATTAAAATATAAAGATGAATTGATCTAATTTCTGAATTGTTGTTTCCACAATTCTTGAGTACATCTAATGCAAATTTTTTAAACAGAATAACTTACTGTGGTAGTTGACATGGTATTAATTTTCTTATAACATAAACTATATATATAGATATAGATATATATATAATTCAAATTACATAAGAAGTCATGTTGTCCCCATCAATAGAAGATGCTAATTTTCCATTTAAAAAGTTTTTGAATGAAAATTGATACCAATATTTCCCTCAATCCCTAACCACTTGTTTATGCATCTAGTAAGCTATCAAGCAATCAATAAAAAGCCTGTGGTCACAGTAATGGTCCATCCATGTTTTAAACAATGCAGAAAACAATAAATGGAATCATCATTTAATGTCCTGCAATTAATCATTTTTACTTAGCTTTGTTTCACAAGGGTGAGATAGGTTGGGCCTCTTAATGTTCTTTCCCTAACGGAACCCAAGAAATGCACTGTTTCTTATTCACAATCCTTTATTTGTTAATTGCCAGCGTCCGAAATCCAGCACTGTACGTTACAGTTCGTCACCTTAATTAGGGCGCTTTTAAGTTAAAACCTAACAAACTTGATTCTCTCTCTCCATTAATTTTTTTTTTTTTTTTTGGAATTGATTTCCTAAATAATATTGTTTACATCCAAAATAAACATTTGTTTTTCAATCTTTTATAAATGCATAATGGATAAAAAAAAAAATTATTAGCTAAGACCAAGTTATGTATTCAACAAATTAGCAGGGAGCAAACTTGACAGAGAGAAGCTAAATTCTAAAGGCTGTGGAGACATTCCCACACGGCTGTCAACGCTTCAAATGGAATGCTATTTATTATATTGTATTTGTTAGTGTGTTCGTGTTTGAAAGTGTTTTTCAAATTGTATTTGTGAATGCTTTTTAACAAGTCTTTAGATAGTTTTAATATGGTCATGCTAAAAGTATAAAAAAATAACTAAGACTAAACACATTTTTACAATAATAGTTGTGCATCGTATTACCAAACACATACTTAATTTACTTGCTTTTAATTTACTATCATTATTATTTAGTAAGGTATTATATTTTAGTATAGCTTAGCCACTAAATTCAATCAAGTATTGCTAAATCCAACGTATATTTTATCTTTCTCATCAAAATTTTATTGTAAATTACCAATACATCACCATCACATCAAATTAGTAACCAAATAGTAACTAGATCTAAGGATTTGTTAGTAATTTATAATAAAAAAATTGATAAGAATAACAAAATATATTATGGATTTAACGAGTATCTAAATTAATTGTGAATGTTTTTTTTTATTGTTTCTAAAGGTCATATATATATATATATATATAGGTTTTATCTAGTTATCTTCATCCCATATTGAAGATATGATTAATCTGTATGTTGGAGGGTTACGGACAAGGTTTAACACCCTCTCAACTACACATTAGTAGAAAATTTACCTAGAGACCAACTTCCTTATCATTAGACCAATGACTTCTTGGTGGTTTTACGTATGTCTTTTCATATCTTTACCTTCATTTTATACGAGTTTACCTTTATTTAAACTTTTTATTTTAGGTGAATCTAAAAATTAATTTTATATTAACTTTCTAATACATGTTTTAGGTGAAAGACATTTGAATTTAAAACTTGCTCATAACCATCTATACCTTGTGGTGATTTTTTTTTTTTAATAATTAAAACTTTAATATCATATTAAATAACATTTCAATCCAAAAGTTGTTGGATGAGACCGAAAATTATCAATGAATATGTCTATATATATGAGGCGGATCATATAAAAAGAACAATAACTTCCTCCTAATTCGGTTTGGATTCAATTTACTCCTCCCCGCACAGTTCATCATATTAGGTTAGAAACTCATTAATTTTATAAAGAAATAAAAAACAAACAAGAAGAAGAAAGCGGAAGAAATTCATTAATTGTCCACAAATTAATAACACACTTGATTAAAGGTAGTTTCTCAAAATATTGGAAAAAGATTCTACAGCTCCACTCATATCTAACCAAATTAATAACAGATCATATGTACTTCATGAATTTACGTTCATAAGTACTTCATTTTGGTGATCGGCTCTCTTCCATTCATTTATATATTGGCCATTAATTTTTCATATCTAGTTAGTGAGCATACTTATTGGCATGCAACGGCACACTTATTTTTCTAGCCATTCACAATTTCTAGATGCAAATTTAAAACACATTGGCCAAATGAAGTAGATTTTAATAAAAAAAAAAATGTACTGAAAATCTCTACATATCTTTTATTTATATGTTCTACCAACTTGGGCCATAAGTCCAGGTTTGCATTAACTTGTAATTAGTATATGTAAAAGATGAATAAACATATTCAATATAGCCTTTGATAATATTTTTTTAATTGGTATTAAAGCATTCAAGGTTCCTTTGTTTTTGTCTCCTCTTGTATTTGCCGAAACCTTTTTTTTTTTTTTTTTTTTTTTTTTTTTTTTTTTTGACATTCATGGATGAAGTTAATCAATTCCAAAACGATAACACTTCCTCCATGAATAATCCATGCAACACAAACACATCACCCAATCCAACATTTAGTTTTCACCTTTCTTTCTCTGCGCTTTGGATAACCTTGGTATTATTTTGATTTCGTGCTTGCTTAAGGGAGAAATTACTCGACTTGGAGATGTGCTATGGTAAACGCTCTTTGAGCAAATAATAAATAGTCTTTGTTGATGGAACAATTGACAAGATAGAATCGGAATCCCTAGATGAACATGATTTTGAGTTTCCTAGAGAGAATTATGATCAATTAACTAGAGAGTACGTAGTTGACTGATTATTCTAATCAATTGTAGTGTGTAGGCTTTGAAGTGGTTAAAATATTAGAAAGAAGCGCAAGCATTGGTATTGATTCAAACGAACCTATGATCTATGATGAACTTTATTGCTTAATATGTTAGGAGTGATTCGGTTTATTTTAAGGATTTTTGCATTTCAAGCAAGCGGTATCTCTTTAATTAAGTAATTGTATATATCTTAAATAAAATTTCATTCTTAAATCTTTTTATTTTCTAATTTAGGAGGATCAAACATGAGAAATGAATTGTAAAAGCTACAAAAGTGTTTTGAATATAATTAATGTGTTTTGTTTTCTAAACTTACCCGAAGATTGACTGATTATGCTTTAAATCCTATCTTCGGAGTTGATATATCGGCACCTATAGACATGTTTATTTAGAATTTGACTAGTTGGTTGCTCGTGCTACGCTACGAGTCTAATAGAATAAAATCATTTTAAAATTTTAAAATTTTTTAATTATAATTTTATTCAATTAATTTTTTCTAATGTTTTTTAATAAACTTTTTCGTTAAAAAAGCATAAATCATACTTCTTTATGAATTTATTTTAACTAAAATATTAATCAAGAATTAAAAAAAATTACAAATATATTTTTCATAATATTGTATTACAAAAAATAAAATTATAATTAATGGATAGAACTTTATAAAAATTAACAAATGAAAAAAAAATTACTTAATGCTAATGAGAAGATTAATTTTTGAAATTATCCACACAACGCTGTAGATATATAGATAAAACAAAATCATTTCAAAATTTTATAATTTTTTCATTAATTTTTGTGTTTTCATAAAATTTTTAAAAATTCTAAGAATTCATAATATAT